CTGGAGTAGCTGATTGCATTTTTCACCCCCCTCCCTTTCTCTGTTTTCCCATCTTGCAGGTGCGGTGGTTCGTGGCCGGGCGAGGCGGGCAGCTATGCTGCCGTCCTTCAGTTACCTCACCAGCCACCCTGGCTTCCGCGGCACCATCAAAAACTCACCGAGTGATTTCGTCGTGACAGAAATCGAGATGCCCGAACACTTGCTTAGGGATACCCGGCCCGAATCGCTTGATAAAACCAGCGAAGCGCTGCTGGAACAAAGTAGCTGGTGCCTGGAGCCGCCCAAAAAGCTGAGAACGGAGCCTCCTGGCCCATGTGGCGCGCCCGGGCCTTCAGAGTGTGACCCGAGCCGGGCAGGCCGAGACCTTGCTGCATCCCCTAAACAAAACCAGCAGGAGGGTGAACCTGAACTGAAAAGTGACCTTGAGGAAGCCAGCGTGTTGGATTCCTTGCTAGGCAAACCCATGAGTGAACTGCTTAATAAATTTGCGTGTGATCTGAAGGACGCGTGGGGCTTGGAGAGTAACGCTGATGCTGGCACTGGGGAGTTCTCGCTGGGTCCTGTACTGGGCAAGAAAAATCGAGCTGATTTGCACAGTGCTGTTAGGCAGAAATTCCCCTTTCTAGTCACTGTAACGAAAGACAACGAAATGATTGTAAAAGGAAATGCTGATTACAGAGAACTTTGCCGTTTAGTGACTGAAAAGGAAACAAGTGCTTTCTTTAAATTTTTAGATGCAAAGCTAGAAAAGTCTACATTTTCCTTTGAGCCTGATGGAAACAAAGAGCACAGAAAAACAGTTCACCACTTTATCAACAGAAAGTTTGGAAAACTTTTAGAAACCAAGTCTTTTGCTGTGACAAATGTCAACGATCAGCAAAATATGTCCATAATGGTACGATTTCGAGAAAAAAGTTCGTCCAGAAAAAGGCCTGCTTGTGGTTTCCAGGAAAAACAAGATCTTTATACAGGTAAATATGACATTTTTAGTGAAAATGCGAGATATTAGGGTGTTCTTTAGTAAGACCAAGACTCAGAATGATTTTTAATGTGATGTATGGGCCTGGCTGACTCGTTATTTATGGTGAAATGAATCATTAATTATGCAGTGTTATTATAGCACTGGAGAATGAGATGGAAGAATCAAGCTACTGCAGTGATTTTTTTACATAAGCTGTTCAAGGGTAAAGGTTGCAATTCTGGTTGTAGCACTTCCTTGCGTACTGCCTTTCCCTTGCAAGTAGGGAGGGTTTCTAGCCATCAGGCAATATGTGTGTGTTGAATTGTGTTGCATTTATCAGGTGGTATTTTTAAGGGGTTCTGATTGTTCTATGACTTTTGTTTATCTTGTCTTCATTTTTCTGTTTCAAAACTGAAAAAGTCCCATTTCCTTTGGTTTTTTGGGGGTGGGAGGACTGTTTCTTTGCAGTTTTCATGTTTGAACAGAAGAACTTGCCAAGCTGTCATGGCAGAACACCTGTATGATTTAGAAGTGCAAATTCCTAATCATTCTGAGATGATTGTTTCAGCTTTCACCCTTCAGAAAGAAAATCTAGAAACACTAGAAGCAATCAGCTTCTTGGCTGCTGAACTTGGTGTTCTCCCGTCAGACTTCAGTTACACTGGCATCAAAGACAAGAAGGCTATTACTTACCAGCCTATGGTTGTGAAGAAGGTGACTCCTGAGAGGTACTAACAATCTGGGTGCATTAAGTGTAGCACAGAGTGTGTATGTTAATAACTATCAATGTGGTAGGTTCTTCTGAAATGTTTTTTTTGTTGATGTGTCTTCCCTTCTGTATTACAGCACAGTGGAAATGACTTTAATATTTCGTGGCTTTAGGGAATGTAGAGCCAAGTGCTGAAGTCCCCCAGTGTTGGAATTCAAAGAAAAGTCTCACCTTTGTCTGTATTTTTCATAATGCAAATATATCTTCTGGGGCAGTATCTGTCTAATTCATGCCCATGGGATCCAGTTTGTAATTTCTTACGTACCATCCTGTAGCTGGAACCGAGAAGTCTATAGTGCATGATGCAACAGATTTCCACCTCCTGTCGAAGTATTGTCTTGTGGTCTGCAGACAACACTTTAAAAGTTTATACAGCTACAAAACTGCAGGAAATCATTACACATATGCTTTGGACAGATGCTGTCTTTGAGTGTTAAGTGTCAGCTTCTGTTATATTGTCCAGTTCAGAAACATGCAACCAAATAAAGAAGATGTCACCAAACCTGAGGGCAGAAAATACCTTCTGAATAACATGTCTGTAATATAAGACCTGCCTTTTCATTCCTTATTTTTGTTACTCTGTAGCTAATTCAGTGGATAAAAAAATATAATCAGTTCTGCCATAGTAACAGTAAAAAAGTGCTGAAGTCAAAACCCTAATTTATTTCTTTCTCAGCTTTAACCAAGTGGATTTTGGTCTTGGCAAAAAAGTACACTTTACAAATAAAGAAAAGTAGAATTTATTTTTTTAGGATTTATTACTAATACAAATGTATATCACTAGTAAAATTCAACTGCAAACTGGGCCATAAGGCAAATTGTTCAAGAGATAATTAGCAAAACTTTTCATTAATGTTTAAATGATTAAGCAAAATAATTAAATGCTTCCAAGCCACTGGCGTAACAGGGAAAATGAATAAGCTTTAGAAATAAATGATTTATAAAGTTATGAAAATATTTCATAGAATGTAAGCTTTTATGCTGGAAGTTTCTTTTGATTTTAATAGCTATTACTTACATATAAGAACAAAGAGACTGAGTGGATATTTTAAAGGGGAAATCCTTGAACTGTCAGCTGTGTTTCCAATTACAAGCACGTGCAAAGGTATCCAGAGAATCTGTGTGCGGAGTTTTTGTTAAGTCTGACCAAGAAAGAGCAATTGTGTTTTGGAGTTTGCTAGAGCACGTTACTTTTTTTTTTTTTTACTTTTTTTTTTTTAAATGAAGAACATATTTTTAGAACCAAAGAGTAAATTACTTGTTTTTCAGTAAAATCTTCAAAATGCTATGCAGTTGCCTTGAGAAAGTTCGATTGCTTCATTCTAATATCTGTTGAGCTACAGAATGTAAGTCCAAGTGAAGCAAACATTTTAGAAGTATTTCTGGACTATAACTAACTTTTAAGACTCCTATCTCTGCTTTTGATTTTGTTTTCTCATAATCATCTGTTTTAAATTCCTTTTTATTTTTTTTCAAAGGTTTTTGATTCTAGTGCAGAGGTAAAGAAAGTATTTATTAGATGTTTTAGTAGGGGATGGTTCATAATTTCTCCCAATTATTTATGCAGGTTGAAAGAAATTGGAAGCAAAATGGAAAAAAAGGGCATGAAAATACACAACGTACATTCGACATGCCAGCACCTTAGACTTGGTCAGCTGAAGGGCAATCACTTTGATATACTTGTGAGAGATCTCAAACACCATAGTCATGACTCGTCTGCAGATTTGAAAGAGAGAATATCTGAAGCAATGGAAAATGTTAAGGTAAAAAATCCTCATGGTTGTCAATAACGTACAGAGTTTTAATTCTGTGCTGTAAAAAAAAAAAGTTACTTGTAAGGAAAGTGCTTGTAATAGCACAATAATGGTGTTATTTCCCAGTTTTGGTGCTTTTTGGTGCTTTTTTGCTATTTCACGTCTTTCCTGCATTACTTAGGGAATCACAGGAGTAAAGCTGCCTTCCAAGGAGGGGCCATAAGTGAATTTGTTCTGTGTTGCAGACTGCAGACCCCAAAGTGGTGCAGCAGGACATATGGGAAATCTGGTAGCAAATGAGTGTGGATGTAAACGAGCTGTCGCGGCGCAGACCTCAGGCCAATCGAAGCGATGTGTTTCACCTTGCCAGTGCCAGGGTGAAAGAATGTAGTTACAGGTGTCAACCGATTCCATGTTTTGGTCGTGTGAAGAACATACATGCTTGGCTTGGGTGAAGAACTTTCATGGCATAAATACATATGAAATGGCCATAGCAGAGAAAAAAGATCCCCTGAAATTCAGTGGGTTTTGATTGCTGTTATCCTGAGTTCCTGAAGAAAACTCCATCATCGTTGAGAAAAATAAAAGAAGGTCATGGAAAGGAAAAAATCTAGATGTTTTGTACAGCAGTAATTTTCTTGTCCTGTCTTTCTGATTTATAACCATTATACGAATTAATTAAGAAGATTAATCCAGGAATAAAGACTGGAATGAAAACTACACAGTGTGCAAAAGCAAAATACATTACATTTATTTTGGAAATTAATCTTATTATTGGTAAAGCCATTCAGCTGGTCCTTGAATGCTTTTCTCTCTCTCTTTGCTACATCTGACTATTTTATTTTGCTGTTTGGAAGATGAACACAGATTCCTGTGGTTGTGTATCTTGCTTTATTAGATTTAGCTTACTGGTTAGATGACGAATGACAAACCCAGCAAGTGTGTTAATCCAGAGGGCAGATTCTTCATCTTCTATGAAAACACAATCACGTACGGGACCTATGGGTGTCCAAAGCAAGGTTATGTAATTTGAACTGAATAAGATTTTCAAAACAAATACTATACAGTTTTTGCTTGTCTACTCCATGCATACTTACTATTATCTAGAAAAGGGTGGTCTCATGGGGTCACAGGGCTGTGATCTTACTGCCCGTGTGTGACCTAGAACTCATCGGAAGATGTAAAATCCCAGTTAGCAGAAGTGATAAGTCTGGCTTTTACTGTTCTAACAGCAATACAAATAATCTCATGGGAAGATTAGTATTTTTAAGAAAAAATGTCCAACAGTAGTTTGTTCATTATCTGTGCTATGCTGCTTTTGCTTGAGATTTCATAATTTAGGGAATATAAAAAGCTCTATTACTTGGATTTGACCCGTAGTCGTATTGATAGTAATTAACGATATAGAAATAATTTTGTTTTGTTCACCTTTTTTTTTTGATGAAAGTGAAGACAATGGTAGGAGCTGGGTGTCTTTTTAAATAAAAATGTTGTAAAGACTCATGAATCGCGATTTTGTTACATATTACTTCTGATTAAAAAGAGAATTTATATGCTTTTTGGATGTAAATGTAGGTGTATGTGTGTTGTATGCTTAGTCTCATGAGTTGTACCTGATACTTTCATGGTTTTAACATACTGTTTATCATTCTAGACAAAAGGATTTGTAAATTACTACGGACCTCAGCGATTTGGACAAGGACAAAGTGTTCAGACAGATCAAATAGGATTGGCTTTACTAAATGAAGAAATGGTATTTAAATTATGTAATTCAAGTAGTTACTATCAAATTAATTTCACATTACTGTTGCAATATCTGACACTGGAATTGACCTTCCCAGTGAACGATTTCATTTGTGAGATAAACCCATATGTGTGCTGGACGTAATTGCCAGACAGGTTTTGGCAACAACCATATTTAGGGGGCCGGTTAGCTCAGTGGTTTGGGTGCAGTGCTGGCAACAAGGATCAACACCGAGATCGCGAGTTTGATTCCCGCTTGGTACCCATGTGTTGCCAGGTCTAGTCAAGAGGTGGCAACCCTGCCCAAAACAGGGAGGTTGGACTAGATGATCTCTAAGGTCCCTTCCAGCCTAGGCCATTCTGTGATTCTATGATTCTATGAATAAGCGTGAAGATCTTCACACTAAACCCATTTTTTTTCTTACTTTTTTTAAACAGCAGATGCAGCTTTAAATAGTTCAGGAGGTGATTTTTTGGTCTATAATTGGTATGTGATGGTGATCGCCATTATGCCACTTGTCACAAAAGTGGCTGCACTCTGTACAAGATTTGAACACTCAAATTGTCTTTATACAATGTTTATTTATGGTCCTGATTGCCTCCTAACTTGTGGCCTCTTTATCCTGCTAGGGGGTCTATATACCTCTTAAAAATGTCACGAGATATGACATAGTATCATATGAAAAGATTTGCTTTTTCAGTACCACAGTAATTTATCTGCTATATAGAAGAGATTGCTGCTTTCCATTATTCCTTGGCCACTTTCCCAAACTCTTTGTTCTGAGTGATAGCTCCTATGTAAGCTAAGGAGAGCTTATTTCTTAAGTAATTTATGAGTCGTATACTTTCCAATGGATATGGTATAGTACTTGGCACAGGTCTTAAACAGAATCAGACACTACAAAGTCAAATGAATACTTGGGAATCCTTTTCTTCTGATGTTTTGGTTCTGAGAAAAGTCAGGAAAACTTATCCTCCCAATATAAGAAGAACCAAGATCTGAGGGTAGCCGAGAAATGTTACTGTTGATGTATCTGACATTTTGAATTCTGGTATGCTAGCAGTCGGTACCGTGTGCCAAGCCCTGAAGAGTAATGATTTAAATCTCTAGTCTTAACTCAGTCACCTTTTAGTTTACAACATGTAGAAACTCCTATCTATATTAAAATCGTGCCTGTATGTACTTACACAGTCTAATACAGAGGAGGACAAGATGTCACAGCTTGATGTAAGTGCTAGGAAGTTGTGTGACTCCACTGATGTTGCAAGTAGCAGAGGTTAATGTATCTTTTTCCTTGTCACAATGTTATCTAACCTAACACAGATTATAATTTTAAAAAGAAAGATTCTTGTCCCTCTGTGTGAGACTGTGGAGAGAATTTTATGTGAAACGTGCAGGAGGGAGAGAAGGAACCTTCATCTTCAGGATAGGATGATGCATTACAAAGTGGAGCAGTACTAACTGCATGTTCAAAAAGAGGGAATGATTTCTCACAGAGCTTTGAAAGTTGTCTTCTGCCTTCTGTGTGACTAAAACCTTTTCTTAATATAAGGAGGAACACAACCATATTGGTTTGCTGTTCATGGCATCTTCTGTGAAAAGGAGAATTTGTCTTTGACCGTAAAGAACTGATATAATTTTGAGAGCTTGCACAATATGTTAGCACTGAATTGGATGCATGATGATCTGTTTAGTTGACAGTTATATTTACATGCAAAAAATATAAATTGCTAATATTATTCTTTAAAGGTGAAAGCTGTGAAATTATTTTTCACACCCGAAGATACTGATGACCCTGTAAACAACGCAAAAAGATATTTTCTTCAAACTGGTACGTCTAGTTAAATTGTCTATATATTTATTCAGGGTCAGTATTGTGAGGGAATAAGATTTTGCTGTACAGAGAAATACTTTTTATTTTGCTGCTGCTTTATAGCACTTAGAGCTTATGCTGTGGAACTCAGTAGATTTGCTCAGTTAGAAGTTGGATGAGGGTGAAGCCTTAAATGTGCAAAATAGTGGAAAACTTCAGGTGCACGGCAGTATAGAAACAAATGCTGTATTGCATAATTCTGGAAAAAGACTAAGATAATTATATCAGAATAGTTTTAATCTCCTTCCATCTGTCTGCTTTTGGAATATAAACTTCTTCTCCCTAATAAAGGAAGCATAGAGGAATGAGGGATGCACACTTAGCACTTAGCACATATATGCATCTAATTTTCTGAGATTTCTATAACAAATATAACTCATCTTTGCATCTTTGGCAATTGCTTTTATGTCTGTCTAATCATGTATCTTTTCCATGCTTCCCTGCAGTCTTCTTTCTGTCTTGAACTAAAATCAACGAAATATGTCAAAGGCAGAAGTGTGCTGAATAAGATGCTCTGATTGTCACATTTATTGATAAACATTCAACTTAACTTTTTTACTAAAACTAAAAATTTGACGTTGCTCTCAACTTTGAGTATATTTTTTCTTTTCAAATATTCCACATCTGTTAGGCTGCTTATCACTGTAGATTGACAGAACTCTGATATATAGCTTCAGGAGAGACAGATACGTTTTATTTTGCAAAAAAGATAAGATGAATCTTTATGTGCTGGATGGAAAGACTTTGATGTGGACCCTGAAAACAGCTGCTTGTCTCTTTCTGAGAGCAAAAGATAAAAGGCTACACAATAAGCTTTGTCATATAATCACTTGTAATGAGAAAATATACAAATCATACAATTTTAAAGATACAAGATTCATATAAATGTAGTGCAAACGTGCTTAAAAATATTTTCACCTTGCTTGAGGCTCAGACTTCCCAGTGGCCAATGCAATTTGTGCCTTTGAAATAAAGGCATATTTCTGCACTGATGAAATACATGTCGTCCAATGATGCGAAGTAGAAGTTCAGTGTTCTTCTATAGCTTGCTTTTTACTTTCAGTTACCTGATCTAAAGAAAACTTTGGAGTGACGAGGTAACTTTCTAAAAATAAAATAATGCGAACTAGACTGAATAACTGAAGGACAGCTGATTAGTCTACAGTGTGTGAAATAGAATTCATGGGACTGGGTTGATAGGCATGTGAGATAAAATTTGTCTAACATGAAAATTGAAGGAAAGGGAATAATAACCTAGAGGACAGTGTAAAGAGATTAGACTGATGCCATTTTTTCCCTACCTGACTATTTCACCTTCTTGAGTGTATTTTTTCCTGACAGGTAGTATTTGAAAACTCAGAGGTTACTTATATGGTTATTTTTGTTTATATCAGAAGATGCAAAGGGTGCACTTGTGATGCTACCAGAATTTAAAGTGAGAGAGAAGATGTTGCTACGAGCTTTAAATCGCTATGGTGTAAATCATGAAGGTTGTACCAAAGGATGGCTCAATATCCCCCATTCCATGCGCATATTCTATGTCCATGCTTATTGCAGCAAAATTTGGAATGAAGCAGCATCGTACAGGCTGAAGATTTATGGTTCAAAAGTTGTTGAGGGTGATCTTGTCTTCTCAGAAGAAAACCATGAAAGTATTTCTCTGAATGACAAGGTAAGTCTTCACAAAATAGGTGTGGGTTTTTTTTTTTAAAAAAAGCACTTAATGTTCTTGAATACATGCTCTAATGCTTTTATTTTAGTTCATTCACTAAAATATTTAATATTAGTGACAAAGGTGAAAAAAGTGATGGGGTTTTTTTCTTTAACCGTAAGTAGTTATATGGGCTAGCTGTGTTTAAGTAGCTTTTTTCTGTTCTCACCATTTATTTTACTCAAATGAGAAGAAGGAACAGAATGTCAGAGTTGATATAAGTAAATATTTAACATGCACGGTATATAATGCTTTTCTTAGGATCTGACTTGGGAAAACCTTCAGAGTGGACTCTGGGGATGCCTATCACAGAATCATCGCAGTTGGAAGTGACCTCTAGAGGTCACCTCGTCCAACCCCCCTGCTAGAACAGAATTGCCCAGAGCACATTACACAGGATTGCAGCCAGGCAGGTTTTGAAAGTCTCCAGAGGAGGAGACTCCACAACCTCCCTGGGCAGCCTCTTCCAGTTAATGCAGATCTGAGTCTTGCTCTCCAGGTCAGAACATCCCATTACATACATTAACAAACGTAAGGCTATGGTGAAAGGTGGCCTGAACTCGTAATCATGTTGCACCTACACAGTCAAAGCATGTTTTGCACAATTTTGCTTACTCATGCAACTGCAGCAGATTGATCGTGGGTCTAAAGTGTTAGCAGCGGTTCAAAAAATGTAGCAGCCTTTTGGGAAAGCAGTAAAGGGCAAGGGAGTGCTTCTGCCTGCTTGCCCGCAGCATGGCCTGGGTGCTGTGCATGGAGCCATAAGTGGGGCAATGAGCAGTGGAATGTCTGGTTCTAGGTCTTGGCATGCTGAAGTCCGTTCTGAAACCACGTCTTCTTTCAGGGTTAGCATGCCTTTTTGTTGTTGTGGAAGCAGTTGGGTCTCTTCTCCTAAGTAACAAGTGACAGGACAAGAGGAAATGACCTCAGGTTATGCCAGTGGCAGTTTAGATTGAATACTAAGAAAAAATTCTTGTGAAAGGGTTCTCAGGCAGTGAATCGGGCTGTCCAGGGAAGTGGTAGAGTCACCATCCCTGGAGGTATGTGGTGCTCAGGGATGTGATTTAGTGGTGTACTTGGCCATGTTAGGTTAAGATGATCTTAAAGGTCTTTTCTAACCTAAATGATTCTATAATTCTGTCTTTTCTCCCGATCATCAGATAAAGCATAGAATTTTGCAGTCTTTGATAATAAATAGTTGTGTGCATAGGCAGAATGTATCTCATTTCTTGTGGGTGAACATCTCACAAATTTGGAAGCAAGAGCACTTGAAAGGTTACTGAATAACCTCCAGTCCCTGTAGAGTGGCTTCTGTTTCCCTTGCGATTTTTCTTCCACAATATTTTTGAGAGTGAATGTTAGTAAAACAAGTAGATCAAATAAAATGAAAAACAGAGGTATCAAATTCAGTAGTGAATTATTGAGTTTAATATAGAAATATTCCTATTTAGAATCGTAGAATCATAAAGGTTGGAAAGGACCTTAAGATCAAGTCCAACCTACAGCCCTACACCACCCTAACACTAAACCATATTAAGTTAATATTAAGCATTTTTCTTAGTATTTTTGCCTTTACTGATGTAACACATATTACATTGACACAGTTAACCTCAAAGCATATGAGTTTGAAGTGATAATTTGATAATTAGTGGTAGATAAGATTAGTAAATATTTAATGCAACACCGTTTACCAGTAAACAGATTTCTTTGTAGTAAGCATCCCTACTATTTTTCATATCTGAAATAGGTTATTGTTCTTGTAGTAGTCAAATAACCTTAGAATCCTTTATAAGTTTGGGAGTACAGTGCATAATTCCTAAAATAAAGTGTATGTTTTGTTTTTAAGAAAGCTTTTTTTCTTAACTTCTTTAAATGTCTGTCAGGTTCATGTAGTCACTGCTCCAGAAGAGGCGTCTAACAAGTACTCTATAAACCAAGTAAGTCGGTATGAAAAATTCTGAGTTGTTGATCACTTTATATGACTGAAATGCATTGTTTAATATGATTAACTGGTACAGTCTTCTTCTCTGCCAGAATGCACATTAAAGAAAATACATGTGAACTAATGTCCCCTCTCATAGCAAACAGGAGGAAAGAATACTTGTTTTGGAATGGAAATAAGTACAGTGACATTTGCATTATGGCAGTATTTATCTTGAAGCTGAATGTAACTGCTATGAAAATGTTTTTAGTCTGCTGGGAAGAACATTTGAGAGCAGCTGATGTTCTAATTTTTGAGGGTTCGGAGTTCTTAGTTGCACAGTCTTACACAGGCAACTTAATGTCTTTATTGCTGAATCTAAATAAAGGAGCTAGGAAAATCACGTTAGTATATTTCTACTTTGCTTTAGGAAACCTGATACATTGATTATTTTTTCTGCTTTAATTATATCCATGATACCTGTGTTGCACAACTTTATTTCACAAGAGAAGCTGTTGTTTTACTATTTCAGGCACCAAAGCCTAAGATTTAGACACATTTAAAATTGTAATCACATTTATTTAAAGGGAAATTGGTGGGCCTTATTTCAAATATGTTTGTTGGTTTGTTTTTTTTCTTTGAAGGTGGTTCTTCCAATGGTGGGACATAGTATCAAGTATCCAAACAATAAAGTTGGGCAATGGTACCATGAAAGACTTTCTAAGGATGATCTACAGATGTGTAAATTCAGAGTATCTCCATTACAGCTGAATATACCTGGATGCTACAGACCCATTTTGAAAAATGTTCAGAACCTGTCGTATTTTTTGGAAGGTAGTGAAAACAGAACTGAAATTGAAGACAACCATCTGAGTGAATCAAAAGTCTCTCTTCATATATCATTTGACCTTGATTCCTCATGTTATGCAACAGTCTGTCTGAGAGAAATAATGAAATGTGACTTTTAAGATCCCAGTTAATGAAAGATTGCAGGAATATTATGCAGTGGTGATGTTTTATGTATAATGCCAAAAAAATAAGGGAGAATAACAGATTCAAGCCAAGAACAGGAAAAATTTTGTAGATTGAACTTCATATTGATCAGGAAAAAAAAACACCAAACCCCTTTGGAATGTTCAAATATTTTGCAAGCCCTAAATGCAAACCTTTGGGTGTGTTAGAGTAAAAAGATATGTTATGCCAGGCAGGTCTAACAGAACGTAAAGAAACCATGTGCTGCAAACACGGATTTCATATTTGCGTATGCATTTGACTTGCAAATTAAATACTGGAACAATGCTTGCAGCAAACAGATGTGCCATCTTTTTTATAATGATTTTTTAAAAAACAGTTTATACTAAATACTGTTTGAGCAATAATGTTACAAGTTTGTAGCCAACAGGTATCTATCTAACTGAAATTTGCAGTACTGAGGTTCACTAAATATATTGTGTTTTCTTTGTGTTCAGGCATTAAGTGTTAAGAGGTGAAACTCCTGAGTTGACAGTGACAAGTCAGCTGATACTTTGTCAGGCATGTGATGAATCCACGAGCTTAAGTTAATGCTAAGGATTCCAGGATTAAGTAGTGTAGCTGGTAGGTAGTGCCTATTCAAGTAAGCTCATCAAAATGAGGTGAGTAATTAACATAACTGCAAAACCATTTATAATAAAACCAAAACCCTGTTTACAGGTTGTGGACTGTATTTCTGTAACGGTGAAGCTTTATGGTAGTTAAAAATGTGTTAATGAAACCATCCCTGGAAAATAGCTTTTATATTTTTTCCTAATTAAAAAAAAAAAACAAAAAAACAGTTCACTGTGATAAAATGAGGGAATTTATGGAAAAGGGGAAAGCAGCAAATGCCATTTACCTTAACGTTAGCAAGGCCTTTGACACTGCTCCACAATATTTTTGAAAGTGTCCCGGTTTGAGCTAAACAGAACCAATTCTCTTTTAATGATTTTTGCTTTTCAGCTCAGTCTCTTCTAAAAGGCTGCATTTTTTGAAGTTAACAGCGTGTTTTTGCAGGCAGTGTCTTATACTTGCTTCTGTAGTGTCACTACTGGCTCTTGTATGCCACACTGGGAGTGCCGGGGAGTCAAAGGGTCACAAGGAAGTATCTGGGGACGAACAGACAGGACTGGTGACCAACAAGAGTATTCCATTCCATATACATTATGTTCGGCGTAAACTGAGGGATCACATGGGTTAAGCCCTCTTCTTCAATGGCCAACATCCAAGGAGGACTCCATCTGGTCTTCTGCATTTGATCCCAATCCTGAGTTCCCAAATCCAGCTCCTGCATCTGGTTCCCCTCTGCCCCTGAGCCTGGGGCGTCCCCTGTGCCGCGTGCTCTGCAGCATCAGTGGGGATTGCTATCTAAGCAGAGAAGTTGGGTTCAATATGTGTTTTATATATATTTGTATATAGTTCATTGTTTCTATTATTTTCTTACTAGAACTATTATTGTTTTATTAAAGCTATTTTAGTTTTCCAGTCTGTAAGTCTCTCTGCCTACCTCTGTTTCCCTTCCCATTTTGGGGAGGAAGAGGTGTTAGAGAGCATCTCTCAGTGTTCAATGGCCGGCCAAGCCCTAACCCTCAACAGAAAGCAAGTTAGGACATTATGTTGGATGGATGGACAACCATATGTGTAAAAAATGTGATTGGATGATGAGGTTCAGCAAGTAGTTGTTATTGGGTCACACCCTACCTGAAATTACTACCACTGGAGTATCTCCTGGGCCCCATCCTATTTAATGTTTTTGTCAGTTGTGGGGGATCCATGCGAGCCGGACGAACAGCACACCTATATGATGCTCCATAACGCCAAGTTTATTCCACTCAGAAGGCTACTTTTATAGTACAGTTAGTTCCTTACACGTGTACAGCACGAGTTAAGTGTTACATGATTAGTCGTATACCCTGTCCATGCACTACATGATTGGTTACACGCTACTGTCCACGCGGCGAGCACGAACCCAACTAGTCCCTGTGATAGGCTCTTGTGTACGGCGTCAAATCTCCTGATTCTCCTGGCCTACCTTCTTATCTGAGATACTCCCAAAAGCTGCATTGTCTTCAGTAGTTTCATAATTAGCTGTCTCAGCACTTTCTGTCGGTCACTGACCTTTACTCTTTCACCAAGATTCTATGTAGTAGGCCCCAACAGTCGGTGACCTGGAGGAGGGCATGGAGTTCACCCTATTGAATCAGCAGATGACACCAAGTTAAGGTAACAAATGCATTCTCTGGAGGATCAGGCTGCCAGTCAGAGCAACCTAGAATCACTGAGTCGTAGAATCATAGAATCGTTTTGGGTGGAAAAGAACTTTAAGGTCATCGAGTCTAACCATTAACCTAACACTGCCAAGCCCACCACTAAACCATATCCGGAAACATCTCATCTACGTGTCTTTTAAATGCATGCTGGAGGAACAGGTCGGTGGGAACCTTGTGACACTCAACGAAGACAAACACAAAATGCTACCCCTGGGAAAGAAGCACCTCTGCAGCAGCCCAGGCTGGGGGGCAGCTCTGTGGGAATGGCTCTGGTGGGCAGCTGAGCATGGGCCAGCCTTGGTCCTTGGCAGCAAGGATGACCGGCAGCCTTCTGGGATATGTTAGCAGAGACACAGCCAGTAGATCGAGGGAAAGGATCATGTCAGTTTTCAGCACTTGTTGGATCACATTTAACTTCTGCGTCCGGTTTTGATCTCCATCACAAGAAAGACTTCAAGATGCTGGAGAAAGTTCCGCAAAGGTCCTTAAGCCATTTGGGGACTGGAACACTTGTGATTTGAGGAGGGGCTGAAGGAACTGGGCTTCTTCAACCTGGAGAAGGAATGGCTTTGAGAGGGGAAACCAACAGAAGCTCTCCAGTATGGGGAGGTTAGCAAGAAGATGGAGCCAGTCCCTTTGTAGTGGTGCACAGCAGGAGAACAAGAGACAACGAGCATCAATTGGAAAACTGGGTTGATTGAAGTACTTTTCCTCCGTGAAGGATGGTCAGGGAGTGGAACAGGCTGCCCAGAGAGGCTGTGCAGTCTCCATCCAAGGAGCTTTCCAAGACTCAACGGGATAAAGCTCTGAGCGACCTGGTCTGAGCTCAGAGGCAACCCTGTTTTGTGGAGACAGTTGAACTAGAGACCAGAGACCGCTTACAACTCGGATTACCCTGTTATCCTAAGCAGAGTATTGCAAGTGTTTATTCAGTCTGTAGATGGCAGTGTGACTTAAAACTAAAATGAAAAAGCCTACTCGTTTTTACTGAGCAAGAATTGAATTCTGTTTATGGCATCGGCCTTTCAATCGTAGCTTACAGCTGAGTAAAATAAATCTCCCAAGGCAGATAAACAGACCTAGAATTATAGGAATAGGAAAAATTAAACTGTAGAAATATAATTCATGTTATTTCAATGACTGTATAAAGCTGTGTGGTAATGAAGGATCCAGCTAATTCACTGCCTTAAATAAGAGGATTTCTTTATAACTCTAAGTAATTAAAAATTTGACCCTTCACTTTTACAAGGGAAGTTAAACTGTCATGCAAACAATAGCTACAGAGCCACTGTACGTCATTTACCATGTTCGCTCTATTACAGTACTTACTCTACACCTCAGGTTTGTGGTGTACAAACTGTTTGAAAAATCAATTTCCCCACCACAACCCATCTGAGACAGCTTTGTTCCTGTCTTTGCTTTTCAGTATCACCTCTTCCACTTGCTCTTGAAAATACTGTTCTTCTGGAAAATTATTTTTAACTCAAGTCGCTTTGTTATAGCACAGCTCAAAAAGCCTTGTCTTGTCACTACTGACATGGTAAAGTGCTTCAGTGCAGACAGGAAGCTGCAATTACAGTGACCAGAAGAAAGAAATTAGCACTGAAGTTCTATTTAAAGAGGCTATTGTCATCATCCTTCATGTGGCTCAAAACAGCCTTGAAAACCATCTCATCACGCACAAGATTTGAATACAGAGGGTATTAAAAGGTGACCATTGATTTGGAAAAAAAACACACAAAAGGTCAGATTAAAAGGTTTTTGACTGAAAGGCACACTATTTTAAAATAAAAGATCAGAAGATGGTGTTAAAAGAGTTCTATAATCATTTTAGGCTCATTTGTCATTACTTCTATTGAACACTAAAAGGACTAATCTTCTTAAGCAAATCATTCTTTCAGCGACTTTAAGGTGAATGAGCTAATTATGTGTGTCCATGGGTTAAATTCCTATAGCAGAGATGTTCTGCTAGGGAAAAGTCAGGTTAGCTATTAGAGTGTTTATATGGTAAACATCCTTCTTACTTCAGTGGGCATTTATTTGTAATTCATTCTCTTAATCCTAGCAGCTATTTTGAAGGATTGTGTACATAACAGCTAAATTCAGAGAGTTCTGAGTGCAGTCCTCAGCTCCCTAAATATAATCTGTATAAACAAAACGTCTGGGCCCCTGCATTTAGAAAAGATTATCATTGTGCACTGATCTGAGTTTAAGGAAAAGATTGATGTGTTATCTCTCATCTTACCAAGTGCTTCTATTGATACCATCCTTTTCTGATAAGATTTAAAGCACTTTGCTAATACTAATGAAGACAAGTCTCTGATTCTGTTTCTAACAAAAGGGGTTTTAAGTTCAATGGCCAGTTGGTTTTTTTTCAGCACAGATGATAGATAATTGGGCATTTGAATGGGAAAAATGCAAATGTTCTTAATCTGTGAAATCCTATTACTTTTAATTCATTACAAATTTGACAACTAGTATTATCCTCAGTGAGAACTTAGAAGTTTTCAGACATTTCAGAATGATATGGCTTATAATTTCATTCCTATCATAAAGGTAGTTCACAAGCCAGGTAGATGTACAATTATTGGCCCAGCTCACTCATTAAAACTCCATTAACTCCTCTTTTGGTGCCAGTGCTTGTCAGCTGGTGATTTGACCTCTTACACCCAGCTGGTGAGCTC